TCCCCCCCCCCCCCCCCAATTTCGGCTTGTTGCATCCAAGTTTGAGGATGTTGGGACCCAGGTAACGATGCTTGTGCTTGCAGAATTTCGAGCTCTAGGGGGGCTGCCCAGTCGGCTCAACGACGCTGCAGGACATGGAGACCGGGGGCGACTGCCAGTGATTCTCCGTGTCCCATAACCAGTGCGGAAAGCTGCTCAGCCTCGCACCATCCGCCGCGACCGGCTCTGGCCGCATGGCTTTGCCCGATCACTTGCTAGGAAAGATGCATAGGCCTACAACTACATGATGTCAAGCACTAAGCTCATGCCTCAGGATTTCGGGTGTTGGAGATTCCACTGACAGCAGAAGGACAGGGTCTCGCGGTCACTCTTCACAGTCGTGTCATGAGGACACGGGCAACGGCTCGAGCCGCAGCTTGGGCCGGAAACCTCAAACTCAGGTCGACCGCCGAAGTCTCGCAGTGACCAAACCTGTCGGCCGGACCTCTGCAGAGCCCTCCTCAGTCGCTGCTTGATCACAGCCAAGACCTACCAAACCCCGACGCTTCCAGCCAGAGTCTCGAGGGAAACTAGAGCGTAGTAGCGAACTTCCCTGCAAAATGCCACGACATGAGGGAAGCTCCGGATGCTCGTCAAGGAGCTAGCTCGGCCCGCGCCAGCACCCCTCTCCCACGTAGCCTCAAAGAGCTTCAAGCAGCTTTGGCAGGCTACAGCAGAGGCTTCGCTCGGCCCCCTCGTCCGAGAACCTGGAAGCTTTCCCCCCCTTAAAGCCCGTGGTCTTACCAGCTTCCCCTTCAGCTCTGTGTGTGGCCATATTAACCATAGTAAGCCGGCTTACAAGGCTCCTTCCAAAGCCTGGAGGCCTCGTTTTTGGAGGCCGAACCCAGAGAGGCTCTCGGGTGCCGACCACTCTCGCTGACGTGCCGGCTGAGAACGAGCATGGTCCTTGGGGAGGACGTCTTGGTTACGGTGACTTTAGCAAGAGGCCAAGGCGGATCACACTGATCAGACGTGCGACGTTGGTCTTTGGAAAGTCGTTTCTGCGACCCCGGAAGCAAATCTGAAAGATGCACTTTGGGCCAAGTTTCCAGGGCCGTTCGTCCAAGCATGTCGGTTCGAGCCTGGCGCACAGATTTTACCCGGCATACAGCAGAAGTGCTGCTGAGTCAAGACCCAAGTCTTGCAATAGAGACGATGGGCGATGACGTGTGAGTTGGGTGACTTCGGCAGGCTTGCAAAACAGCTCAAGTGTGTGTGTGTGTGTGTCGAAACCAGCTGGCCCGTGGCGAGATCAGTCAGACCTGTCGCCCTTCGGGATTTACGGTTTCTTCTGTAGCTAAGTCTCGAAACACAGGTTTTTGTGCTCAAGTTGGGGTTTCACGAATTGCTTGATGGTATCATTGAATGAAGGCTTCTTTCCATCTTCCCCGCGAGGTGACACTCACACACCCACCCCGCACAGACTTTCTGATAACTCTCATCACTGCTGTTACGCGTATTCTGTGCCGTAGCTTGAGCTGTCGGAAATTTAGGCATTACAGCAACCTCAGCCGTGGGCTGGCTCTGCTGAGTTCGAGAGCAGCAGTTTGGCAACCTGGCAGAGAGGCAGAGTCCATCGAAGGGTGGCTTTTCTGCAATCCTCCTGCCTGAATCCTGCCATGGCGCGCAGCACTCATCAGCGCTGTGACCTCGCTTCCAAACCTACGATGGAGGCTGCTTCGAGTTCCGGGAACACACTGCAGCGCTGCTACTTACGAAGAGCTCAAGAGCCCGAACACCATGCGTCAGGTCCGCACCCCGCCCCAGACCACAGCATTGGGATCGGCCCGGCGGAGGAGGATCCTGGCGAGGGCAGAGCTCTCCGCCCCTCGCTGACGCTGCAAGCTCCTTGTTGCACACAAACCACCTCTGCAAGCTGAACTCGTGCCTTTGCACCGCGCCGACATCGCCCACGGTCGCGGCCTAGCCACAGACCGGGGCTATACACTCTTGGGCTCTTCGCCCAAAAAAAACCCAAAAAAAAAAAAACTAACCAAGATGCCTACAACCCCCAAACCTTTCTTGGAGGCCTGGCAGAGGCGCTCTGCGAGACGAGTTCGATGCTCAGACTGCCTGAACAAACTTTGAAAAAAAAAAAAAAGAAGAAAAGCAGGTCCAGAGGCCGCCTGGAAACAGGCCCCCGAAAACAGGCCCCACAAGTTCTACGTGAGCAGGTCGCGAAGCAGAAGCAGGCCGGCTCGGCATGTTCTCATCCAGGCCTCAGGGAGCTTTGCAAGCGCTTTAGGGTTTAGGTGTTTAGGGGTTTAGGGTTTAGGGTTTATGGGGTTTAGGGTTTAGGGTTTAGGGTTTGAGCTGCTCTTTTTACGGCCGGAGCCGACTGGCCCTGCACGGCGAGATTGCTCTAGATGATTACCTCGACTCAAGAGTAAGTAAGCTCCCGCAACAACCTCTGCCTGCAAAAGGGCTGGGGGCTTGTAATCAGAGCTTCCGGGAAAGAAGAATAGTCATAGTTGGGGGGTTTGTAAGAGGGCCCTCAAATGGCAGGCTGGGGCGTATAATGAGAGCTTTCGGGAAAGAATCATAGTCATAGTAGGGGGGTTGTAAGAGGGCCCTCAAATGGCACACTCTCTTGGGCCGCGTCTTCCGCCCTGCGGCGAAGGGGCCGGGCCAAGAGGCCGAAGGAGCGGCCTGGGCACAGAGAAAAGTTCGTTTAGACTTTGAGAGAGTTTGGATTGATAAAACCCTTGCAAAGATGATTGATATATATATATATATGTGTGTGTGTGTGTATATATGTATGTAATATTATATAATCTACTAGATGGCAGCATATTCACAAACACACAAACACGCATCTCTTCTTCTTTTCTGGTCTAGGGGGCCGTGTGAAACCCTCCCGAACCAGCGAGCGGCCCGCCCGTTTGGCTTTTGAGAGGGCGTGAGAACAAAAGCAGTTTATGACTCACTGGCGGAAAGGAGTCATTCCCTGCTTTTGCTTGACATCGGCTGACACATCAGGGGATACGCAGGGAACAGAATCACTGCAGAAACATGCACATAGATAAGAAGGCAAAGGGGTCCCATGCTCAAGAAAGCTTGGCTCTCAGCATACATGCAAGGAACAGCGCAGAATAATAGCCACTTCCTATCAACACGCTTGACTGAAATAAGACACACGACGAATCGGGCCAATGGCAAGAATCGATTCTACCTCCACCACACGCATCTCTCCTTTCTCTCTCTGCCTCTCCATCCATCTTGTTGGGGGTTTGTGGGCTAGCGCCGGAGGCTGCACAGGTTGATATTCAGGCAACGTGGCTTGAGGAATCGAGAGCAGACGGAACTTGAGCAGCGGATTCAGGCACGGCACACCGAAAGCTTGGGGGAAGCTGAGGCAGCTGAGCATTTAAGTGCTGACCCCAACATCAAGCTCTCGTGCCAAAGAGCCTCTGAAGCTTGGATCCCGGCGTGCCCCCGCCACTCTGTGCAGGCTGCTGGCTGTCTGAGCCTTACCAAGACGCCCCGAGGTTGCTGAGAAGCTGAGGGCATCGATGCGTTAGGACTCAAGCCCTAGCCGCTACCGAGTCTCAGTGCAGTCAGGGATTTCCAAAGCCTGACATTGCAACCAGGACTATCCTGGCTCCTTCGCAACCTCGAACCCCCAGTACGAGTCCGAGTACAAACGGCGAGCAAGCCTCCAAAGAAGCCCGGCGTACTGCCGCCCGCAAATGGCGTCGGTGAGGCTGCCGGAGGCCCTCCAGGGGAAGACTACAAAACACTGCAGCTCCTTGCTGTCCTTGCTTCAGTTTTGTCTGGGGGCACCGCGTGCCTGGTAGGCCGGCTTCGATGCCCAAAATGCGCTTTAGCTCCTTGCAGCGCCAGCCCGCATCTGTCTAGGCAAATTACCGTAAATCTACCCGACAGCAAGTCAGCACTCGATCGAAGCCCCGTAACCTTTCCCTTCCTCTTTCTCCCGGGCCTCCACGCCCTCCCTGCTCGAGTTGATGAGACCCTGGAGCACAGAAACCTCTGATGGCATCTGATGGAAGCGCAGGGACGTTCTGCTTTCAGGCCTCGTCGCCGCTAGCGAATCTAGAGGTCTGTTGTTGTAGCGACGTCAAGCTATGAAACCCTGGGTATCTTTCGAGGTTGGACGTTCCGGATGAGTCTTTCAAGTGCTCCGAGGAGTTCGTCTTCCTGGTACCCGCTGTGACCCTGGCTGCCTTGGCAGGGGGAGAGAACTCGAAGCTCTGGCCGATAAAATGACGCGTCAAAGCTCACCACTGCAGCATGGAAGCATAGTCGCGCAGCTGCGTTTTGGACGCACCCACACCTCGCTTGAGAGCATGTCTGAGTGAGCCACCTAGGGGAGGGAGTTCGCGCCTGGAGTCCTGAACTGCTATTTGGTTTCTACCCTAGGTGTAAGAGTTTGCTGGAACACTGTCCAGGTTACCTCAAAAGGGCCAGCCAGAAAAAGGCAGAAAGGGCCAGTGTAGGAACCCTTGAGGCATCTACAACCTCAAAACCGAGCACTTTCAGGCCAACTATCGCCCAAAAGGAGGCATGTTCTTCACCTAAAGTTGTGGCAACTGGGGCCCCCTGAGAGGACCGGACGGGCCAGGGCCGCCCAGCGAGTCGTGACCGGAGAAGCTGTGGCCTCCGCTTTTGAGGCCCCTTTTTGAGACTCGGCTTCGTCTCCCTTCGCTCTGCTGCAGGCTTTAGGCTTTAGGGCTTTTTTGCAGGCTCAGAGCTTTTTTTGGGGGCGCGGCTTTGGCTTTTGTTTGTTGAGTCCCTTTTGAATTTGAGATACGACTCTGGCTTAGACCTTCATTCCGTGCGCTACATGAAGCCTCGTATTGAGACGAATCTTGAAGAAAAAACCGTGCGGCCTCCTTTGGTCTGGCATGAAGATGTGAAGGGTTTCGGGCTTAGGGTTTACCGTGCAACTTCTGAGACCCCAAAACGCCAAGAAAACTTCCTTTCAATCGGCCATGCTCCCCAAAACAGTGAAGAATGCTCAAGGGTGTTTCGGTTAGCAGAGTTGAACTCCTTAAATCTCGGTGCGAAAGCAGGTCTTTGCTTGCAGCAATCGGTCAGCAACAGATCGAAGATGCATTTCACGGCGGTGCTGGAGCAGTTGCAACTACGAATGGAAATACGAACGCTAGCTGGATGCTTCTCTGTATACCAGGCTCTAGGAGAGCAAGGGCAAGCCTATATTATGATGTAGAAGCG